AAAAAAAAAAAAAAAAAATATTTTTTGGAACCAGTGTGTGAGTTGCCCAATCTGGGCTGGAACGTGTACTCCTCCTGCCTCTGCCTCCCACAGTGCTGGGATTATAAGCATGTGCTGCCATACCTGCCTTAATCGCTTTTGATAGAATTGATGATTTAAGAAACAATGTGATCAGTTGTGTGTATTTTCTTCTCATATGGAATCCGTCCACAGAGATGATATTGGGTCCCACATGATGAAAGGCCAAACCTTGTTGTATAATTGTCTTTGCAAAACGTAAAGAACATTGCTGGACATGTGAGCTTTAGTGAAATGAAATGTTTCCCCTTTAATTATTTAACTAGCATTTTCATGTACACCGTGCAATACATTTTACAAACTGCAATCAGGAGTCCTAATGATCGCACTACATAGGATAGGTTTTTGCAGTCATAAGTGTCCTCATCATTTCATATTTTTTTATTCACAAGCTATTTCGTGCTTAGCAGTGGTCTGCATATTTATTATTATACTTGAACAAAATCTTGGCTTCATTTTCTCTCGTCTCTTTCCCTTGGTTGCTGTAACAGTTATTAGAATTCATTTCAAGTTTATTCCTCTGCAGAGAAGACCCTTAAGTTTATATTCTCTGCCTAAAATGACTGGTGGCTGACTAGTGTCGTAGTTTCAAGAAAAGATTTAATTATGTTTATTACTGCTAGTCTTCTGTTGAGAAACTTTCCTGTATCTGTTTTTTTTTTTTTTTTCTCCTGGTGTGGGATATAAAACTAGGGGCTTCTGCACTGAGCTATATCCCCAGCCCTTTTTTATTTTTCGTTTTGAGATAGGGCTAAGCTGCTCATGCAACCTGGAGTTTGTGTGTGCCTCAGCCAGAGTGGTGGGATTATAGGCCTGTGTGACCACACTCAGCTCCCTTTAGTGTTTAATGTCCAAAATTACAGAAATAATTTCCCAAACTTCTGCTTCTATCCATAATGTAATAGCTGGTTCCCAGCTAACACATTTAGTATAAATGACTATAAAACTGCAAGAAGCAAACTTGGAGCTGATTTTACACTGTGTGGACCACCAGCAGTACAAGACTGAACCTGAGAGGCTGAATCTGATCATGAAAATTTGTTGTACTTACTTACATATTTTAATTTGGCTACCAAATGGTTTAAAATTACATATAGGGCTTTCATGTCTGTATTGGAAAGCACTGATCTAGGTATTTGATAACAGCAGAAGACGAGAGTAGTATATAGTTATGAATATTCAAGAAATTGACAATATGAAAAAGAACTGAAGGAAAATGTAGTTTTAATGTTTCAACTGAGCAGAGGGACCTGTTTTTTTTCTTTTTTTTTTTTCTAAACAATGGAGATAAGGGAGTTTCAAATTATAAATTTAAGAAGCTTAGAGGTTACTGCTTCATCTCAACAATAGTGAGAAGCTGAACAAAGTGAAAAATTGCTAACTGTAGATCTGTAAGAAAACTAAGGTTACGGGGCAAACTGTAGCCCCCCAAATTGGAAAGATAGATGGATGCATAAGGTAATCATGACCCATGGCAGTACTAGTCCTGCCTGGAAGCAGTGCTGGGCAGTTTCCTAAGTGTTCATTGACACATTACAACCAAGTATGGAGAGGTCTTTGAGCTAAAGTCATGCTGCACTCCATTCTCACTCACACATGAGCTTTACCTTCAGAAGATTAACCAGGATTTCACAGTAAATATCAGAAAAATTCTCACACGTTTCCTGCAGGGAGAAGGAGTATAAAATGTATTGTGCCTATATCCATGGTAGTCAAAATGTTGAAGCCAAAATATAAAGAGAAAATTGTTAAAATCATCAGTAGAAAAATGACCTTATGTATTGGAGAAGTCATTTTAGTGCATAATGACTTATTTGAAGATGAAATACAAGTTAGAGGCAACGGAAAAACGTCATCATCGTCATCTTCGCCAGGGTCTCACTGTGTTG